GGGTTTAGCCCGTGTAAACAGCCCTGAGAAAGACGGGAGCACCACTGAAGCTGCATTCTGAATGGGCTGTGCACGCCCTGTTTGTCACTTTGCCACCATCCCCTTCGGTTACAAGTTTACCAAAAATAAGACAAAAATCAAAACTTACACAGTGCCATTCACTCACAACCTTTTAAATAATAACATCACTTCGCCATACTTTTCTTGCATCTCCCCTGCATTAAGGCTCATGTTATTAGCTCTCTAGGGCAGCGTATCATTAGAATGGTAGAAAATGCAATTTAAGTTATATTTTGAGAAAGAAAAAATAAGAGAGGGCCCTGACTGTGTTGAGAGAAATAATACCACTAATATTCAGAGAAGAATAGCAGAAGAAGTGATGAGGCTGCCTCATAAAAGCGCGATGGAGACAGCAAGAAGCCTATTTCACACTGTTCAGCTCTTCGGGGGCAGAAGAGGAAGTGGAATAGGCTTTGTCAATACATCTCTGGGGGAAAGAAATAGCTTCTCTACCAGGGAAGGGAGATGATTTGCTAGCCCTTGCAGTTGGTAACTTCTTCATAGTTCATTAGTTATTTCACAGGTGATTTTTAAAGGTGAGCTCTGTATGAGAACATAGCCAGTAACAGAGTTCTCTGGGTGTTTTCCAGTTTAGTCCCTAATTACTGAAGGTATTCTTAAAAGTATTTTGGACTTTCTGATTCTTAATGTGTAATTCACACAACAAAACTCTTACCTTGGCACTTCATACACTCCTAACAGCCACACATGGGTGTGCTGCTTGACCTAAGTATCCAAAGAAGGTTTAATCCTATTAGCGCAGAAATTCCACGCAGCTCAGAACTACTTGTTTGGGGATTTTGTTTGGTTGCTTTTTCAAGGGGATGGGAATATTTAGCGGGGAAAAGGTGAGGAATAGTGTTACCCTGAGGCACAAAAAGCTAAAAATGTATGAAGTGTCTACCTGGCACAACTCTATTATTTGGTTTTAACTTTTGATATAATGCAAGCTACTTCAACCCAACTCTTCTGCTATCCATACCCCTGACTTGCTTGTACATTTGACCCTTATTTCCCTAAAGCTGAAAAGCAAAAAATAAATTCAGTCCATCTTCTGATATGGCCAAACCAGCCTACAGCTTCAGCAGGCA